AAACTGAACAGTAAAAGACAAAATGTAAAGTACATTAGTCATACTGAATCAAGTTACAGTATACAAATCTCTCAAAACATACCGGATTTTGAAAAACCTTTTGGTGCTATGTGTAATTTTTCACATTTCCTCTCTATGGCATGTAGTATCTCTCTGCTCCACTGCCACACTTGATGCTGCTGCCCATAGCAGCCTCATATGTTCCTCTTTTATAGAACAGCTTTTATTTCTGATAGCCCAAGAAAGCATTCAGAGAAAATGTTTTTTCTTAAAATCTCTGTAGTTATTTTTAGTGGTTTGAAATCAGATCTCACTCCCCGTTGTGAACAAAAATGTTGTTTTATTCTAGAAAAATTATAAACAAATAAATAAATAAATACTACATTCTCCACTTCACTGTCTTCCAAAATCTTTGTCAAGCTGTCCAAATTGGAGAGGGTTGACTGTTATGGGAAGAAGATGCTTCCACAACCAATCTTGTTAATAGTGAAAAGCATACCACAAAAATAAACATCTAATGAAAATGCTGTCAAACTGTGTTACTCGCTGTACTGTGTGTATTCATAGTACACCTGACAGTGGGTGATTAGGTCACTGACTGCTTCTTAAGCATCATTGCCTTTCTTTCTCATCTAACACAAAGCAGGACACAAAACTCCATTTGGGATAAATGCAATCCATTGTTGCAATGCTGGCAAAAGCAGACTATTTTGCACGTGAGACAATTTAAAAATAGAGCCATAAGTGATACAGTGCTGTGTATTTCCAGTTGCTTCTCAGCATTTTCAGATGTGGGTGTGAAAGGCATCAAAAGCATGTTTTCTAATGTAAGATGTCTTAAGCTGGCCTGCTTTGCAAGTTAGGAAAATTCAAGTGTAAATTTCATTAGCAAGGACAATCTATACAGAAGAAAAATATAGTCAGAATTATAAAGGAAGATAAAAAAAAAAAAAAATCAGTTTTTTATTCAGGAATAAAAACTCAAGTAGATTTCTTTGGGGGATGGAAGTTTGAGAGATGAATTTTAATGAAAACAGCAGTAAAGCAGAACAGCCTATTTAATTTATGGACAATGTGAATATTCATTCCCCAAATCTCAGCTAGCTGAGTACACGGGGAGGAAAAGACTATACAGGTGATACAAATATAGTTAGTATATCGTGCAGCTAAGTTGCTAAGCCTGGATCAGCTCAAGCTGGCATAAGAAATTCATAACATTACAGGGAGATCACAATTTGCAAGGCAGCAAGGAGGGAGAAAAGCTATGAGAAACTAGAGGTTTAATGCCTGGAAAAGTAAGAGTGAGATACAGATACTAAAAACACGAGATGCTGTTTTGGTGAGGAATTTTATTATGGTATTCATTCAGTATCGTTGTCTTCTCACTTTTTCAGTGTAACAGTAAGGTTATGATTATATTGAAGTATATACTGCATTTCCTTTATACAGTATATAAAGGCGCCTCTAATCTGTGTCTATTCTAAGAGAATTACTTAAACGGAGTCAGATGCTCTGTTTGCTTCCAGTCCATTCTAATTAATAGCTTTTTCCTGCCACTAAAGTTTTTTTGAGTAATTACAATGGCTAAGGGCACACAAGCTCTCTAAGCAGGATAAGGTCTCTTACCTCTTGTCTTTAATTTACTGACCTATTCCATCCCTCAAGCTCATTAAAATCTGGTTGACTGCTTCCATTAAGAAATAAAATGGAATTTGTTGGCTTTTGCTCAAGTACTTTAAATCCTTTCTTTCTCATTTGCTTTTTTTTTTCTTTCAAATTTTGTTCCACATATAGGCAACTGTCTAGCTGCTGAAAGCACTTGCTACTATATTGACACTGATGCAGCTACAGAATCCAAACAAATATCTATTCTGACTGTCCAAACAGGTGGGGGGTTACTGAACAAAAAGCTGTCCTTTTTTGATGAATAATGACAGTGTATTTTTCTGTCCATTGTAACTTGGACCTAATCTGTGCTGCACCAGAATTTACAGATGTAAAGATGGCTTTGGTTGGAGGCTAAGAGCTTTTTCCAGTTTCTATTAAAAATTCAGTTGAAAAATAAAATAACACTAACAGTTTACTGCCAAGATTCACAGCTATATGCTATGTACAGTGCTCTCTGAAGTGTCTTTGAGGCTTCTGGAATCTCTCCTGATTTTCAGCAAAATCTCCACTTGGAACAATCTTCATAATCCAAAATTTTCAGTTTGTTGGTAGAGCAATGAAGTAGCACTGATAGACACTCTAAAACAACAAGAACAAAAATTGAGACTTTCAAGTAGAAAAGATCTAACAGATAGGACCTGAAATTTCAGTTGAATGACTTTTTGACCATTGACATGTTGTAAAAGACCCTCCTTCAGAATGAAGGACACCTGTTATTTATATTTTATGGTACTTTTTCAGTTTCTTGTGTTGTCTAAATCCAGAAAACTACCAAGAGCTTGGGTGATCAGCACTCGTGCAGGTGTGTTCTCTGGTGGAGTGGGGGATCATGGTATACAGGGAAAGCACAGAGGTAGTATGGGATATGGTTTACTGGGGGAATAATGGTAGTAGGTGAACAGTTGGACTGGATGATCTTAGAAGTCTTTTTCAACCTTGGTGACTCAATGATTCCATGATTCTATTCTAAGTGACTGAAGACGGTACACAGAGGAGCACAGTGGTATATCAGGAGTAGCTAAAGTGACCTGGGCAGTTCTGGGAGCAGTACCCACAGCTATGGAAGGCAGCCCCAGGAGTGCAGGGACCAGGGCATGGCATGGCAGTTTGCACAGGAAGGCATCTGGGTGGGAGACTCAGAGTACACATAACCCAGCAACCAGAACTTTTCCACACCATTTTCAGTGGTCAAAGACATTAATCCTAATTGACCCTAAGGGTGAAATGGTGAGTAGTCATCTGAAGAGGAGGCTCTGAGGAAATCTTACAGATCTCTACAACCATGTGAAAGGAAGTTGTGGTGAGGTGGGAGTTGGCCTCTTCTCCTGTGTAACTAGTAATAGGACTAGAGGGAATGGCCTCTAGTTGAACCAGGGGAGGTTCAGGTTAGGTATTAGTAAAAATTTTGTCTTTCATCTGAAAGTGTTCAGGCACTGGAATGGGCTGCCCAATGAAGTGGTTGAGTCAACATCTTTGGAGGTGTTCGAGAAGCATTTAGATGTGGTACCAAAGGACATGTTTTGGTGGAGAAATAATGGTGGTAGATGAACGGTTGGACTGGATGATCTTAGAGGTCTTTTCCAACCTTGGTGATTCTGTTCTATGATTCTATTCTAAATGGCTGGAGACAGCCATCTTGGCTTCAGTGAGAGTTCACAATAGGAATTATTTTTATATATTGTTATATAATATTGAAATTATTGTTATATATTATATATATATTATATATATGGTAATACTGTTATATATTATTATATTATAGGCAGTATTGGTGGATAAGGGAAGAACAACTGATACCATCTACTCAGACTTGTGCAAAGCATTTGATACTGTTCTACATAACATCCTCATAACACCCTTATCTTTAAAATGTAGAGACATGGATTTGAATGACAGGCCACTCAGAGAACAACAGTTAATGTTCAGGTGGAGCCTAGTGATGAGTGATGTACTTGAGGTGCTGCCACTGGGACTAGCTCTATTTAATATCTTTGTGAAAGGTTGGAACTAGATGATCCTTAATATCCTTCCAACAGAACTCTTTCAATGATCCTATGACTTTTCCTTGGTTGGATTTTTTTATCCAACACAAGTCTGCATTCTGAGCTAAGAGGCAAGACTTTCTGCCTCTGTTCGAGAAAGGATTCATTTAAAAGATGACAAAAAGGGATCCGACATTTTGTAGCAGAACCTTTGGGTTGTCTTACTTGCCAACACATTAAAACTACTGAAACATTTTTTATAACATTGAAGAAGGAAACAGCTACTGAGCTGTGATCTACAAAAACTTCCATGAAGAAAAAAGAGCAGCCTTGGATGAAAGGGATGATAAAACCGTCTGAACTCCCTCTAGATTGTCTAACGCCATGAGTACGCATGTTGGTTAGGTGAGTCCCTCTTTTTCTATGTTTCTCTTATAGTCTGGTGACTCATTCCGCAGAGATAAACAAAATTAAGCTGGAAATTTCAAAGCATCTTCAAAGGAGTTCTGTATGTAATTCTGTTGATGGCCCTTTGAAGATGCAAACGTTCACCTCTAAAATAATCTGCATCTTTTTAGAATATCCTATTATTGCACAGACACTGAAAGCTCTACATTAAAAAGCATTTCAACTCAATGGTTCAGATTATTCTTCCTTCTCTAGCACTAGGATTCACAGAATACTGTGAATAGTGTTTCTCTGAGCATACTATTTTATAACTAGTTCAGCAAAACAAAGTGTCTTAGTTAACGTAAAATTCAAGGTTGCTAAGGGGCAGAAAACATACACAGTAAGTATGCTGATAGAAGCAGAGTTAGAAGGTATTAGTAATAATTCAGATTATATATACTTTTTAAATTAAAAGAGTATAAAGTTTTAAATTAAAGAGTAGAAAAGGACAGTTTGTTTTGACTCAAAAATGCACGTGTGTATGAACAGAAGCTCAAATGAATTAGTAAGCTGAACTCAGTGGAGAAGGTCTGACACTGCTGATGGTTTAAACTATAGACAAATTAGTGGAAAACTGCTCATGATAGACAACACAGAATCAGTTGCAAGGCCCTTTCATTCCTCCTCACTACAGCAAACAATAATAGATTCATCTCTTTCTTTAGATCAAAATCTCAGCAAGTATTTTGATCTCTCCTGAGCCACCATCTCCTGGCTACTTCCTCACTGACTCAAAGAATGAGCACACTTTCTTGCCGCTTCAAACAAGTGACTGCATATAGGAACAAGCAAACAAAATATTCAGAAGTGAAGCCTTTCGCCTGCGAAAGACCTCATACAGGTGTTCGCAATCGTTAGGGACTCCTCGGTCTGTCCATTTACCCAAGGTGCACACCAATGTGGTGGAAGGTAAAATGGCGTTTATTTGATAGCGACAGAAACTTATATAGCTTTGTACATCTTCGTCTACGCCCCCCCTGACTTCGCATGAGATCACAACTTCCCTATCTGGTTACCACTAGCAACCACCCGAAAGGTGGAATGCCTCAGGGCTACTACTTGACCAATGGACATGTGGAATGTCTTGTTTCTCCCTTATTTGGTCTATCCTGTTCTTCTCCCTTATCTTCAGGTCATTTGTTGTCATGGTTTCCCAGGGGCCAAGGGGCCCTTGTCAGCCCTGTTCGACTACATTTCCCCCTCCCTATGCATAAGCGTAACTACTACATTCTGAGAGGACCCTAACCGCGTACAACCCGAAATCCCCGCATTGCGCCTATACATGCCATTGTCCTCTCAGTTAAGCCTTGCCCCGTTACATCCCGATTCGCCAAATAATCCTACCCTAATAACCCTATAACCTATAAACCTAATAATCCTAATATCTTAAACGTGAGTTCTATGTAAAGCTATATATTCCATTCTCTCAATGCTGATTCGTTCATCTTGGCATTTGCCATATGAGTCATTTGTCTCAGCACACACTATACTTATATCTGTAATATACCTATATATCTATATATAATATGACTATAAGCATAAAGTGTATTAATATTAGACCTAATACAACTATAACTGAATAATGAATAGAGTTAAACAGAGTTAAACATTCCCGTCGCATTGGTGGACCATCCCAGAAGCACTTCCCACCAGTGGTGTTCTCCGTCCTTCTTTACTCTCTCTAGGACACGATGGATCTCTTCTGGGTCATGGTGAATGGTGATCAAGGTTTTCGGCCCATTGTCTCTGTCACGTTTCAGGATTGGTGCAGGTCATCATGTTGCAAAAGCTTCCTTACCAAGTTCCTTCCTTGGTAAGCCAAAGCGAGATTCATCCCACTTGGAGTAGGTGATAGGTCTTTAATCACCGTGTAATTATCCTGCAAGAACTGATGTGATGTCACGACACTTAATAATTAAAGCCACATCCTACAATACTAGTAAAGTTATAGACAGAGAGATTAGAGATTAGAGTGATTGCTGATAGCTCTAGTGGCACTATCTGTGCCCAATATATACAAACATTGTCTCAGGTACCTGTTGGAATGTACCTCAAAAATGATAAACATTTGTTCAATAACAAGGCAGATGTCTCAGGCTTTGAGAGCATTGCTCTCACAAACCAACTGTATGGAATTAATTGTTCTCCAGGCCTCAATCTGGCCACCTGTCCCTGAAGGGAAACCATTCTGATGCCCACAATGTATACTGCACTGGCTTAAGAACCATGCACATCAGATTTGTTACATGAGGAAAGAGAAGGCCTGATGCTGTCAGGACTTCTAATGCATTTAAAGTGAGGGATGATTTCAATCCCCATTTCTCTGCACAATCTATCAGGTGTGTGATGCCTTTCAGATCGAGGGATACCCCTCCCGGACCTCTGTTATCATTCCCTTCTGTCAGGAAGGTCTCTAGTGCTCTTCCTTCCTCTATCAGGCTAGATCTAAACTTCCCACAATCTGTTAGTGCATCTCTCTTAACTCCCAAATGCAGATTCACCTCTCTCCTTTCGCTATCCTTTTCAGTCACAGCTGGAAGCTGCGGGCTCCGCACCGCTCCCACTGTGCCCATCTCCCTTTGATCATACACTGACTGTTGTAGAGGCTTCTGATTGGTTGCATGCGCACTCAATTTTGTAAAAGGATATGTGGGTCGAGTCAATGGGTCTGAACACTGTGGCAGAGAGTGGGTCCGGAGACTGTCGTTATTTCTTTCTCCATCGGGTGCAACCTGAGCAGAGGGCGCCGGCCGGACGCCACCTACTCCTTCAGGCGCAATCAGGGTGGACAGTGCTGGCCGGACACTGTCATCCCAGCGCCTGTAAGTTACATCGCTTCCCTTTCTCTCTGCTTTTTCTTCTACTACCTCTCTAACTTTTGACCAATCCGTACCCGAGCCTTGCCCGCAGTCCCCACCCCCCTGGGTGTTACTGCATTCCACCTCCTGAGAGGAGACAGCAAGTGTCCCATCCCAGCTCACTATTCCCCCTGCCCCCACAGGTGGTGTTAGGTTACACAGAGAAGGATACAGCGGTTGTCCTGGATACGGCTGGGGAGTTTCAGCGACCTTGGATTCCTGCACTTGAGCCGTTTTGCAAGATGAAAGTGCAGACAGTTCAGCGCAGTCTTCTTCTACTTGTTTATGCGAAGCTGGAGCCGAGGGGGGAGCAGAAGGGGGTGCCGATGGTGCGGACGAGATGTTAGTCGCCATAGCTGAGGGCATATTTGCGGTGTTCTCTTCCTCAGGGGAGCTGCAAGAAAGTACGCTTCCCGCTCCGTTTCTCACGGTGTTATTAAATTCGAAGCCCATCATAACGCGCGCAGCCGTTTTCCCTTTCTCCTCATCGACCTGAGGCTCGGTATTGCGCTCTCCTGTAGGATCTGTGGGAGAGACCTTCCCTCCCCCTAAACCCAACCAAAACTTCGCCTGTTCAGATGTAACCTGTTCCTCCCGCGCCGCCTTCAGCGCCCCCAAAACCAGTCCCCAGGATTTCAATTCTCCTGACTTCCCGAGTACCATCGCCCGCTGGGAAAGCGCTGCGGTGATGGGATCCCAGGACCCCGGGGAATACAAATCTGAGGGAGATGTAAGCAGTCCCTCCTTTTGTAAAAGGGACAACATTGCCCCTATTTCCTTCTTAGAAGGAGAAGTTTTCCCGCAGTAGGTCTTACACGCGGACGAAATCACCTTTATGACGGCCTCCATAGTCCCTCCACCGGGCGTACTCCCGCGGATCTCCACCGGGCACTCTCCCGCGGATCTCGAGACCACCGGGATCCTCCTGCGATGGTCTCCTGGGTCCTCGGCAGGTTAAGCAGGCTCGCGCGCAGAGCCCCCCTCCGACGCTACCCAGCTTCCACTCTCCTAAGCCGCAGCCCCCTCTTCTAGGGTCATCGTCTCCTTCCCCAAGGGAGACGGAAGAGAGCAGGAACGCCACGCCGCCTGTGGCCGACCACTATTCCCTAACGATCACGTCGGGGTCACCAGATGAAGCCTTTCGCCTGCGAAAGACCTCATACAGGTGTTCGCAATCGTTAGGGACTCCTCGGTCTGTCCATTTACCCAAGGTGCACACCAATGTGGTGGAAGGTAAAATGGCGTTTATTTGATAGCGACAGAAACTTATATAGCTTTGTACATCTTCGTCTACGCCCCCCCCTGACTTCGCATGAGATCACAACTTCCCTATCTGGTTACCACTAGCAACCACCCGAAAGGTGGAATGCCTCAGGGCTACTACTTGACCAATGGACATGTGGAATGTCTTGTTTCTCCCTTATTTGGTCTATCCTGTTCTTCTCCCTTATCTTCAGGTCATTTGTTGTCATGGTTTCCCAGGGGCCAAGGGGCCCTTGTCAGCCCTGTTCGACTACACAGAAGTATCAGAAGTGTCTATTCCCACAGAGGTTTCTTACTGTCTTTGTACGTCTTTCTCAGTGCAAGTCATTCAGGCCATTTTATAAGTTTACCATGCAGTGCAAATGGGAAACAAAAGGTCAGATACGAAATTTATCCTCCATTAAGACAATATTTGCATCCTAAGGAAGGACTCCAAGAGAGCCTAATTGTGCCTGAAAACTTATTGGGCTAACTCCATATCCAGCTGAAGTCACACATTTAAATTTCCTTTAAATTTCCAAGCCATAAAGCTAGCTGAAGTTATGGGGTTCATCATCAATTTAGAATTCATTTTGACTTTGAATTTAACTATACTAACTGCCTTCACCTGGGTGAAAAAAGAAAAAAAGAAAAAAAGAAAAAAAAAAAAAAAAAGGATATATATTTACACCATTTACACAATACCTCAGATGCACGTAAATGATGACCAAACTTTCCTTGTCTTAATAATTCATGGCAGAAGGAAAAGCAATTGTGAAATTCCAGCGAAACTCTGGTATTTTGGATGTGGAGTGTAAATAGTTTTCTTTCTCAAGTCAGTTCTGTATATCAAGCATACAATTTTATTCTGCAGCTTTACTGCAGAACACTGCATCATGTGCAGCGTTAGAGGCAATGTCTACCAGAGTATTTATTTGCTGTACTAAACAAATTCTTATAAGGGTAAAATTCAAAATTAAATTTCACTCCTGCATCTCAATATTGAAAAGGCCTATCACATGTTGCCAGGCGTAGTCAATACTATTTTTATACTTATTTTTTGCTTTTAATAATAAGACTCAAAAAAGCAGAAGGCAAAGCTCTAACTTAGTAGGATTTAAAAATGGAAGTACAGTCTTCAGACAAAAATTTTGTTCTTGTCATCTTATACACATAAGACTGAAAACACACAAAGAACAGTATTCTAAAATAAAAATAAAAATAAAAATCTTATTTACTCGCTGTTAAACTGGAAATTAAAACTTAAAACCCCATTAGAAGTCATAAAAATGTTAATTTCTGCAATCTCCAAACAAAATTACTTTCAATACAGTTCAACACACTAATAAGTAATGCACCTCTGATAAACAGATGCTAATTAAGAATGGGGTGTTTTAATCACCATTTGGTTGCCTGATTATATTGCAGTCTACTGTAATAGAATTTTAGAAGTATGTAAAATTAACTATGTGTAGTATTTCCCTATTATCAGGTACTCAGATTTTGTTGGATGATGGAGCTTATGTTTTCACAGTATGATAGGCTTTTATCAGAGATGAGCTGAAAGAGCTCGCTTAAGGCAGCACAAGAATAAATTCTGTACTTTCATAGTCCTTTGTATGGTACCTCTTCACTTGGTGAAAAGGCATGACCCAATGTAAAGGTCCAGTACATAAGCAAACACGATTCCATCTACCACATCTAGAAATAATAGAAAAACCCTAGAGAAATCTTGCAAATTCATTTATGTGTGTAGGGTACAATTCTGCCATAATTGGACAGAATTAAGTAATATTTTACTAGTTAAAAGCAAGAGTTTTTTGCTTTGGGAGAAGGTATTCAAAATTGTCAAAATTACTATGGTAACTTGCATTTCCTGAATGAAATAGATCCGTATATAGAACGTCTTATGTTGAAGATGACCTCAAAGATCACCTAGTTCCAACCCATTTAAACTGGCTTTGGATGTTTTAATTTATTTATTTATTTATTTTGTACTGATAATATTATTCTTTCGTCTTTTGTTATCATTTGCTGGCATTTTTCCAAGGAAGGCAACTGTTGTCTAAATTCAAGTCAGACCAAGATTTTTAAAGTTTATAAATACTGGTACCAGATCAGATTAGAACTAGGTAGACTGCATGCATGGGAAAATAAAACGGTGAAATATAAGTAGTTCTGTTCTATGCTGTATTGATGTACAACAACGTCTCTAACATGTCCTAGATTTAAGCACATATCAACTTGTTAACCAAATTTATCAACAAAGCAGAAGAGTGATCAGTGATCACAGAATAGCTGATGTTGGAATGTTGGAATGTAGAGGTTTTCTGGTCTGACCCCTCTGCTCAAACAGGAACACTCAGAGCAGGTTGCCCTAGATCATGCCCAGAAGGCTTCTGAATGTCTCCAAAAAGGCAGATTCCATAATCTCACTAGGCAATCCGATCACTCATTTGCATATATATTAAAAAAGTGTTTCCTGATATTCAGAAGGAACCTCTTGTGTTCTGAGAGCTCACTCACTTTCATAAATTGTTTTTGAAATTTGGATCAAGAAACTCACCACTCCTTCCTTAAGAAACGGGAGGGAAGGAAGGAAGGAAGGAAGGAAGGAAGGAAGGAAGGAAGGAAGGAGATATTTTCTTTTCTACCTTCTGTAACAGAGATTTCTATGGATTCTTAGTAGCAAATTACAGAACATTTGACAATTTGGAAGGAGATCCTGGAAGGAAAGGCACCTCATAAGGGAATGGAAAGGCTTCAGAGCTTGTTTAGGTAATGGTGTAATGTTCAAGTTGTCAGTATCTAAACATGAACAGTCAGGGTGAATCCTACCTGGCATTTGTCATTTAGTTTGAAGAAATGCTTAACATAAAAATGAAACAAAACAAGATAAAATAACTAAAGTGCAAAAGGAGGTGAAATAAAAACATCTGTTGCAATTATAGGCTCAAAATACTGTGTACTAAAGGATTTGCATGGGTCTGGCAGCATGCGATCCTTGACAGGCTTTCAGGATTGCTGAAATCTCACATGATTTTACCTTCTTTGTCTTCTGGAGCGGGTTTTGTTTCCCACTTGCTTAACTCATTAGATTTCCAACAAATCCTCTTTCCTTCCCATTTTCTGTCTTCACTCTAGACGTGATTTTTTTCTTTATTCCCAACATTATTAAGCTGTTTTATATTTCTGATGAAAGTCCACATGATTTATAACGAAAGTGCAGACCTAAACTTATTTTTCATATTGGCCTAAGGAGAGCAAACAGATTTGAGGGCTGGATCTTACTGATCCTTTGCCACTGAAATAATTCACAAAATACTCTCATTTTCTGTTTGTCTACCATTTTTTCTCATTTGCTAATCAAACTTGTATTCATTTATGTTGAACATCTTATTTCTTTTTTTTCCCCTTGCCCATATTTTCTGCTAGCTATATTGCTCTCAGACTTATTTTTCTTTCTTAGTCTTGTAAGCCCAAATGTGTTCTTAACCACACCAACCTATTTAATTTTGATGGCTCGAGCTACACATGCTTTTCTGATAGTCCATACCTACATCAAAGTCTTGTTTAAGAGCTGAAGGAATGTGTGAACTAAAATCAGTCCAAACCCCTGTGTTCCTGACAGGGGGATCTCTACAGGTTAGTAATCAGTTTTAATTCATGTCATAATTGCAAGTGAGTCTGGGAAATAAAAAATAAAAAATACTTTCACAATCTTTGGACTTAACTGTCAGGAAGTATGTCTGCAGCAGACTCATTAATACACGACTGCGAGTGTTTAGCTGTGATAGGTGTCTCAGGATTTTCCAAAACCCTGCAGGAATACTTACCATTTGACAGACAGTCCTACACACAATTTTTATGTGGTATAAGACCTAGTGGCTTCAATTTGTAAAGTTTGTGCTACACTAAATCTCATGTTCTCTTGACGTGTAAACACAGTACATTTTGTGAATCTCTCTGTGGCTACCAGCAAATTGCCAGTCCGTCTATAAGAGGTGGCCAAACATTTGTGCAGCATCTACCCATCAATTTTTGCAGACATTTCCTGTCTTAGTGGAATATTTCTACAGAATGCAAAAATCGTATTTTCTGAAACAATCTGCTGTATCCCACCTGTCAAAGTATTTCTTTTTCCTTGGGTAAGATTTTTATGAACTTCAAATGCTCCATAGTTTTGTTGTCTTAACAACTTTGATATTTGTTTCTCTGTGCATCTGGTGCAACTGCTTTCCTCTCCTAATCAGGTTTCCACCTTTTCCCTTTCATCTCCTCACTAGCTTTGATTTTGTCTGCGTCTATGTTAGAACTCAGTTTTTCAAGGGCTGGCTAACAATTTTGCTGTAGTGAATTAGGAAGGGCAAAGTATTTTAGCAAGGCTCTGTCTACCGTCAACTTGTTATTTGTTGCCTATCTCTTAACACACAGAAAAGAAAATGCAAACAAGGAACTCTTGCTCCTCATTTTACTTGAAAAATTATCTCTTGTTATCTATTGCAAATTATAAGTAAGGAAATTTGCAGATGGACTTAACTAATTCAAGTGTTCCACAGCTTATTAAACTGTGATTCATGGGGTTTCCCAAGAGTTTCTGCCTATCATCTCCATTCCAAACTGCTTTTGGTCATTTTGGTGGTGGGTTTTTTTTGTTTGTTTGTTTGTTATTTGGGTTTGGTTTTTTTTTTTTTTGGTAGGTTTTTTTTGTTTGTTTGTTTGGTTTGTTTTTTTTTTGTTTTTTTTTTTTTTTTTTAATGTAGGGAAAAGATAGAAGTTACGTGGTGGAAACTATTCAGCAGAATTTGGACTACCTGAAAGGAAGCAACATAAGGAATGTGATCATTTTATTCAGAGTGAATATTGCAGGTGCCCCATCTCCACTGGAATGAAACTTGGGAGTTAAAAGAAGCAAATAGCTTAGCAGGTGTTTGAGTTAGTCTGTAGTTTGAACTCCATCACTGATGAAGATTTATTTTGTTCTTAATTACATATTTGTATGTTTTCAGAGGCTCAGTGTATTTGAAAATGCATCTGCTGATGCTGATGTCACTTCGACTGGGCTGATTTATTACTGTGTAGCTGTGTTAGAATTGATCATACATTATGTGGATGAACCTCATTTCACAGACTTAAGAAGACTCTCAGTCTTTTTGTTGAAGTCCATGAAATGCAACAGCAATACAGAGTTGTTGAAGAAAGAACCTTTCTGTCAGTTTCAAGGGGATTTGAATTAGGCTCAAAAGCTGGTATATGCTATCCAGAAGAAGTGGTAG